TCCCAGAGTGGAATGCTTTGTTGCACACGAATGAACGAAGTTTAAACGAATTGCCAATAGCGCCACCCCATGCCGTTAAGGCTACAGAGTTGTTAATTGGCATTTTCTCAAACAACTTTACGACTTCTTTGTTTTAAACGGCTAAGTTTAGAAGCTAACACCATGACGTGTTGAAAACTGAGTTTTTTAAATCCATTCTATCATGAGGTGATGTCTAGACCGCGTTTTGGACAACTGTCACTTTTACATAAATTCTTATTTACTTATTTTACTTATTTTAAATGACAGGCGTTTTCGTAGTTATTATTATCCCTTTAGCTGACTTCGGGCTCCATAGAGAGGAGGAGAAACATCATAGTGACAAAAAGACGAGAGGGGGACAGGATAATGATTCACAGATTTAAAGGAGACAGGCAGATGCAAAGGCAGAGAATAGGTAAGATAAGTGCTACGGAAGGGGTTGAAGTCAGAAATCAACTGCCGGTTTATAGACTTTTTTGCCGTATTATTATACGTTGCCCAGAGTGCACCACGTGGAGGTAAGTCTATTGAAAAACGAATGCCGAGTGATAGAATTTTTGCCGTAAGAAAGTACGTTGCCCAGAGTGCACCACGTGGAGGTAAGTCTATCGTACACCCCCTAGGGTTACTCCATATTTAAATATAGGATGTGGTATAGCTTTTGTATTTGGGTATACATGGCTGTTATTTGAAATAATCTGGGAGCGAATTAGCGACATTAAATGACAAAGATCAACCGTGTTCACACAACGTTAACTTTATAAAAAACAATATTTTTATTCGTCCCGTATTAAGCTGTATAGATTCTATTTGAATCTTCATTATGTGGATTATATTTTAGGATGCAGAGCTATCAGCAGATGACAGTGCATTTCTCTCAGAATGTGTTGAGGCCCAATTCAAATCTTGGTTGGTGGAAACGGGCGCCTTGAAAGAATTGAAGCTTCTTGATACAGCTGCTACAAGTGGTGGTAGTGGAAGGCATTCTCACAGAAATAGGAAAGAAACTACAGATGGTGATGATGATGATGATGATGATACAGTTGTTCCTCGACGTAACATTCCAAAGCAGTTTCATCGGCATTCAGTAATCAACTCAACGGCTATTTGAAATTTTTCTTTATCTTATTTCCCTCTTCTCATCATTCCTGGTGTATTAATCACATTTACTTACTTAATGCATTTATTAACTTTATTATCTTGTATGTGATATTATAATTTTAGATAATAAATATTTCGCTGCATCATTATAATTTCTTCCTAATCGCTTAAGACCAGAAGAAAGTTGAAATTCGTTTTTGTGATTTATGGCACGTTTATGCAAAGTAACTTTTCGTACTAGTATTCATTACATTTTGTTTTCAGAAATCCAGTAAGTACTAATGTATCGCCGTCCCTACTAATCTATTTATTTCTTTTCTAAATGAAATAAGAAAGATGTTGAGCTTATAATGGCGGTGAGAAAAGGGTATGACCTTATGAGGGAATTTTCATGTAATACGATGGCATAAAGAATGATTGGATTACATGGTGGGTTGGAAAATATATGAGGGTGAATAAAGGTAAAAAGTTTTCTGTATGAGCGGTAACGGATTATCATATTTTTATCTTCACTAAAATAATTATCCAGCCATCACAATGAGTACAAAAGTGTCATTTTCCATCGAGCTCCAATGATGTACAGATAACGACTCCAGTCGTATTTAGGCAACTCGAGCATTCTTCTCTTAAAACTATCTCGACACGGTAACCGAATTGAGAGGGACGTGTCGTCTGGCACATCACATAAAAGGACTTCTGTAACTTGAATGACCATACAATTTGCATACTGATGGTGCCTTTAGTGTGTCAATAACCCGCCATAATAGTTCGATAATCTGTTAGCTCCACTCTACCTCGGATCAGAATGTTTAGATATATTTGAATGAGACAATCCAACTAGGTTATCAAGGAAATGTTTTCGAGAATCAATTTCGTACAGTTTCAAATGATGAGCAAAATAATTCTCTAGAAATTACTCTACGGAATAGATGTAAAAGGGGTACAATATTTCTTATCAAATCAAGTGAATGTCAAGAAGAGAAGAGAAAAATCTATAACAAAATTCGCGAAGACAAATATTTCCCATTCCAGATGCCATGAAAATAAATTATGATTCATGCACTCTACATTTTTTCTTTTAAAATAAGAAAAATTAAGGATCTACTAATTAAATTACAATCAAAATGACTTAAATAAGACAGCACCTGCTCACGGCGAACATAGTCATCATTTTGTTAAAAAAATCAGTTGATGGATTTCAGTTAAAATATCAACTTCGAGAAGCTAATTTAGATCCATACAGGCTCAAAAACATTATTGTTGGATAACAACAAGTCAGTTGGGAGAAATACAACAATATGGTAATGATACTATCCTACCTTGAGAAGTTGTTTCTGAATTTCATTGATGTAGACTACAGAAAGTAGGATTCGCTGAATTGAAAATAGTTGAATTTAATGCAAATTTAAAGTGCTAAGACTTGAGTGATTCAGATATTCACCTAGTTTGTATTGAAGTAAAATGCAATCTAATAAAAATTGTTATTTAAAACATATCAGCAGCTTGACCTTGGTGACAGTTGCGCAAAATTCTAACACTATCCTTTCGCGCCGTTTTCTTTTTCGATATTTGATTAATGAATGATACTAGAAAGTATCGTATTTATTTCTCTTTAATTATTTTTAGAGTTAATAAAGCAACAGCAAAATGCCAAGACCTTTCGTGAGCGGGTTGATTCGACACTTGCGTTGGCTATATTTCATTTCGAACAATCGAATTTCTCAACAGCAATAAGTGTGTATAAGACACTTTTATCATTGTATGAAAGCCACGATTCTCGTGATGAGCTTCAAATCGCTTTAACTCATCGAGCTATCGCGGAATGCAATCTTGAGTTAGGAGACTTTAACGAAGCCATTAAGCACACAAGCCAATATCTTAAAATCTCCAAGGTAATTAACAATAAGCTTGAGCAGCAAAGGGCTTATGTCACAATTGGGAGGTGTTTTCAATGCAGATCTGATAGTGCTTCTAACGGTGAAGTTGCAAGAAAGAGCTTACTTGCAGCTCAACAGGCTATCTTAAACAGCATTAAACTTACCAATCAGCTTACTAGCCTGACCTCTGTACAGCAAGCAGAAATGAAAGCCGTTTCTCTTCTTAACCTTGGTACAGTTTTATTTGAGTTCTAACCCATTTAGGTCATGCCTTGTGCTCTATGGGTGACTTCGAGTCTGCCGCCTCACGATTTGATCAGTGCATTAATATCGCTCGGAAGCATGCTCTTCGTAGTATACTCTTTCGAGCTGTGTTTCAAAATTGTGAAATTCCTCTTCATCACTGGCCAGTTATTGCTCAAAGCCGACTTCGTCATACAGATTTGTTGAACCATGAGGAGTCTAGCATTATCGCCAAAGCCATATCTCTTTGCAGGTACGATATATGCATTATCATTTGACTTTAGTCAAACACTGAAGCCTGCTGGTAGCCAAAATTGCTTAAGTAAGGAAACTAAAACCTATCGAAGAAATTTGGAGGATCTTTTGGCTCAACTTTACGTTGCTAAAAGTTCCTATCGAACCGCAGCTAAAGTCTATCGCCAAATTTCTCGAGCAGATTCTTCATCCAGTTTAAATTACAAAGAACTTTGTGGAAAAGCTCTTCGACTGGACAAAATTATTAGCAGATTTCAGTATTCTGATTGCGAATCCGTTGATGGTATGCTTCAGGTTTCAAAACTTTATGAGAAAATGGGTGATATTTTATCTACCATGGATCTTCATAATCCTGCTTTCCGTTGTTACCAACAAATGGTTAGTTATTATTTAACATAATAATCTTTTTTAGTTGTTATGGTCTGAAGTTGCTTTTTCTAAGCAACAAAGTCTTGCTACGATTAGTGATAGCAAAGGCGATTTGGAAGCCCTAGCCAAGCAAGTTGACTCTGGCCTGGTATCATCTGCTGAAGCTTGTGCAAGTTTCGGGGCCTACGCTCTTTGTGCTCATTTCTACCGGCGTGAGATTCTTTTTAATATGAGCCTTTCAAAATACTCCTTTTCAATCTTTAATCCAGAGGATCTAGCCCAAAGTTGGCTCTCAGTTGCTAAGGCTCTCATTCAGGCGCCGAAAAATACGCCTTCTGACTTTGTTCCTCCAACTTGTGAAACTTTAGAGGGTTCATATAATCCTGAAAGTGCTTTGAAGCGAGCTCTTTCTCTTATAGTATCCCGTCGGTCTTCGAATATTACCCGAAATGTGTTATATGAACTAATTGAATACTATAAGAGCTGTGGGAAGGAATCGAAGGCCAGCGAATATTCCACTGAACTTGAAAATATGGTTGACGGAAATGACAGTTCGAATTCATCCTCTGATCCGATTCTGTCTCGTGGCAAAGAATCAGACATTGACACAAATCCGGATACTCAAAATGATGTGATGGATGAGGCGATTGAAGTCCTTTCCTCAGATTCTGAAGTTGAGCAGTGTGTAAATATTAATGATGCTGCTACTGACCTTGTCGAATCTCCTGGTAAAAGGCGGACCAAAGCTCTTTGTCTCAAGGTTTGTTTATTCGGTTATTTTTTGTATTCTCTTGTTTTAGACAAATCTCAAAGGAGAATCTCCTCTTCATGTTGCGTCTATCAACGGCAATCTTGAACACGTTGTTAAACTGATCGAAGTTGTTGTAAGCGAATGGTTTGCTTAGTGTTCTTTGAATAGAAGAGGATCGTTAATTGTTTCTCTAATTGGTTAAGGCTCATCCAATAAATGTCCGAGATGGTGCAGGCTGGTTGCCAATTCACGAGGCGGCCTTTCATGATCACGCGGATATTGCTACTTACCTGTTGGATAAGGGAGCGAGTTTGGATGATACCGGTTGTCCGGAGGATCATTCAACTCCTCTCTTTGAAGCAATTCACGGAAATGCGCTCAAAACTGCCATCATACTTATCAACCGTGGTGCTAATCTTTGGCATGTGTAAGCCGGTTTCTTTATTATCAGGCCGCAGACATCATTTAGTGTCGGTTTTTTAATTGACTTCTTCATGCGCATTATATAAAGCGCTTTTTTCCTAGTTATTTTTCCATCATGCACAGCTTTATTTCCCCTAAAGGAATTGTGTGCCACCTATAATCTCCTGATTAGGACACTTGCACTCCACCCATTCCTTAAAAGTCGGCGTTAACGCAGATTTAGACTATACCTTGTTAGGTTATGTACCTATTTACTCCACTTAATTTCCTTATCAAAATTGAATTTCCTACTTTATACATTTGGAAAGATAGCTTCACATTCGACGCTTTTTGAAAACGGGATTCACAGATCTTGCCTCCGATAGTGCTTCATAACTTTTCAGAAGGTGCTTTCATAGTGTCGTTGGACTTTCCGCTTTTTTTCATATTTTCTCATTGCCTTAATAGGAATTGATCTAAACTAGATCGTTATTAGAAAGTGGCACCAGGTTGATACTTATATCCCGAAATGTTTATATGTTCATACACAGTAGTGTAGTTCTGCATATAAAGAGATCACTTTCGGTAGCTTATAGATAAGAGCTTTGTCACCTTAAAAATTATGGCAAATAAGTCTGTTTACTAGGGATAGATCTTTCTACCATGATTCAATCTGTACTTGTGCGAACATAATCCTAATCTTTGTGCTTATTTCTACCGATGTGAGACTCTTTTAATATAATCCTGACGAAATTTGCACGCTGCTTAAATTTGTAGTGTCATAATGAAATGCTCTACTTATGCATCCCATCATTCGACTTTTAGAAATGCCGAAGGTGAAACCCTTTCCGACCTCCTAAATAGTTGGGAACCAAAGAAGAATGCTTGTGGTGGAACGGTAGCACAAAGAGCTCTTTTCCATCAATTGATGAATGCCGTCAGAAATAAACTTGGTGGTAGGACCAATTGTCATTATTTATGGACATCAAACATTTTCCTTGCCAACTGAGGTTCATTCTGAATAAATATTATGGTCTTTAAGATTCCTACGACGATTGGTATTCATACCGCCCGCCAAAGCCTAACATTCGAACTTCCGCGCATTCAGTATCCATAGTCAACGATGAATCCGATGATGAGGAGAACAAAGAAATCTCAAAAGCCTCTCGATGCAAAAATAAGCCTCGTCGACGTCGTTCATTTAGTTCTTCAGAACGCGACAAAAAACAGGAGAATGATCGAGGATGGAATAACTCAAAACCTTCTCGTCGTGATCGTCGTTTCGATTCCCCGCCACCTTCCCCTTCTCAATCAAAGTCGAATAAAAAGGTCGCTGTCACCAATGGGAAACAGGACTCAAGTGTCGTGAGTGACTACCGAAGTGCTATGAAAGCTATTGGCGGCTCTGGCACCAGGTAAGTCAATTTCCTATTTTATTAATCATAATAATGTTTATGATTTTGAGAATTCTCTAACTGCTTCATTTTGGAGGTTGCTTTAAAGTTACTTGAAAAATATGCCATTGGCTGGCACCGTATATGTCTTCTGTTCAGTGCCTTATATTAAGAAGGCGTAATAATAATTTCGCCTGTTAACCATTTTAGCCATCCGACCAACACTGTGTCAAAGCGTCCCAGTTCTACCCTGAATGGTGTTCTTGTTGACGCAGATGATGAATGGCTTGAAGACGACATTGGTCAGGCAATGGCAGAAAAACGACTTCTGAGGAAACGAGCCAGAAGTGACCTTTATCCTGTTTGTTTGCAAAGCTCCTCAAAACGGACGCGAGCCGGTGCAACCAGTGCAAATACGTCTTCTCATCTCTCTGTTGAGACCATGGAATTTGATCCGAACGAGGCGATCTGTTCGACACAAGTTGACACGCTGGTTAAGCCTTCTCAAGGTGCCAATGATGCTTCAGGACCCCCTACGTCTTTTCAACAGACAGATTCACACTTGGAGGAATCCCAACCAACTCAATTGCCGAGTTCGTCTGTTGGGGTGACTTGGTGTACTGTGAAAGTCACTTTTTCCGACCTTTCTCTTTTACTCCCCGTTGATTCACAGTAAGTCGTCAATTAGCTTAAGTTGTCGATGATATTTTATGATTTCTTTTTGCTGATGTAACTGTGATATTCCTTTCAATTATACTCTTCCCATTTCCACACTTACATTCCAATTAATTTTTTACTATTGTTTTTTACTTGGCTTTAAAGTGAGAGTCCGTTTTTAATTTCAAAATCTCATATTTAAATCTAATTTAAGTCGCCATAAATTAACTAAAGCACTTTGAATGGGAATGGTAAAGCGTTTTCTAAGAAAAATGCATAAGCTACTTTTCTATCGCTTCACAATGCTTTTCTTTTACCCATCTTTTTGAAGTTTGTCGTCATCTCTTTATTTGAGAAAATTTTAGAGTGCTTAATCTTGTTCGATATTTAATCATAGCATTTATATGTTCCTTCCTGTCAATTTTTTGATTATCACGAACAGAATTTATTGTATCTCTAGATTTTCCCTTGGCATGATTTTGGAGTGTTTGATAGTACCTCCTAAAAGGATCAGTTAGGTGTAGAGTGCACATATTCTTGCATCATCTTTTGGTTTAAACTATCTTTTCTCAATTAATTGGGTCTCATTCTAGGTCTAGAACAGTGAAGTGGTTAGCTGAAGAAGCCTATCGGAGACACCAGTTGCTTTTAGAGGAGGATTCTACCATTCCCTTGGGCACACAAATTCGCATTCGCACATCTGATGGGGCTCTCCTTTTACCCACTGATCTACTTTGCGCGGTTCTTCCACAATCCACCTCCAATACGCCTGAATTAATGGCTGAAATTGTCAAAAAATCGAAACCTGCTCCTCTCTCTCTTTTACATGCGCCTTCTGATAGCCGATCTCAAGTTCCAGCGACAAGTAAGTTGTAGCTGGATTTGATGTGCCTGATTCGAATTTTGAGGTTATTCACACTTTGTGTTTATCTTAGACGTATCAAAGGAGAACTCTATTGCTATGAAAGCCAACTTAAGCCATCTTCCTTCACATATTCGTCAATCCATAATCCTTGCTGTCGAGACTGGTTTTCTTAACCTCTCTTTTAAAGCTCTCGAAGCCGAAGGTTGTGCGAGCGCTCTCACAGAGTATTTGAAAGTCAGGTCCGAAAGCCGGCCTCTTACGAAGCTCAATCTTGATGGTAATTAATTTTTTAGTTATAGTTCTATCTATTTTTTAGGGAATCTACTATCCCTGAAGAGTAGTTCTTCTGCAGGCAGTTCGGCTTTGTTTTCGGTCTTTTCGAAACTTTTGACACCAAATTTAAAAGAACTCTCTTTAGCCTCTAATATCCTCACTTTGGATGGCGTGCTGACACTTCTTACTTCCGGGAGAAATGAGTAAGTTATTAAATGTCATAAAGTAGTGACGGGCTATTGCTTTACCGATGCACATTGATGCCAATCCAGTGATTGAGATGTCTGTCCTACTAGATGGTAGAGAGGTCACAGAACGCGAGTTTATAAATCAGAGAGCTCCCTGAAATGTACATTTGAAAATGGTGCATCGGTGACAGTGATCAGCGTGTATGTTTGTCAAGTTACAAGATCGATGCTCATCTATTCACAGTCACTGACTTCGATAGCCACCCGCAATGGTTAGTTCTGTTCTACCAGGGTTCCCCCTAAGAGTGGCTCTAAGGTGCCTTCTCTATACCCAAGTCAACTCTTGCCAACACTTCTTTAATAAGATTTGAAGGCATTGGTCAATAATCCAATTATCGTTTTAGGTCAAATCATCTCACCCATCTATGTCTCGACCACAATCCTCTCTTTGTCCAACCTACGAATTCTGATGGATCGTCAACTACTTGGTTAACAGGACTTGATACTCCAGGATTCGATTTTGGTGGTTCGTCTTCTCCCAAGCTCTCCCGACTGCTCACACTTTGTCCAAATTTAACCAGTTTAAAGTTGGTCAATTGTGGTATAACTCCTACAATTTGGGAGATATCCACTATGTCACGAGGAGGAAATACTGATGCAATGTTCCTCTGCAATTCAGCTGACAGTAAGTTTTACCTTATTGTTATTAACTGCATGCTCATATTACAGATGCAATGTACCAAATAGCGAAGAAAGTTAAACATAGTGTTGTCTTTCCCGATTTTCACGAGCAAAAATGTAACTTGTCTTGCTTCTTTATACTCCTTTATTTTAAAACTCAGTACCAATTTCTCTGATGCTAGAAGAAAGCTAACGCCTGATATGACATGGGTGGTTGCGCTACTTATTTTATTTGAGTAGATTTTTTTGACGAGTATAAGTGACTGGTTGCGGCTTTGAGGCCAGCTAGAAATTTTATTTTGGTAACATTCCCTCCATAATACGCTATATTTAGGTATTGTCTTGAATGGGTTCAAAAGGTCCTGTTTTTATCTGGATGTCTCCATTTTGTTATTTTTTATAGGTGACCAACCAGCTTTTACATTTGCGCAACTCACTGAATTGGATTTGAGTTTAAATCCACTATCATCGAAATTACTTTCTACAGATGATGATTTCTTGCTTGATCTTCTAATTCCACCATCAGTAAAACGAAATCGCCCTAACTTCTCATCTCTTCACACGCTGTATCTCCGTAGAAGTGTTGCGCTGGGCGAAGGGAAGATTGAGAACACCTTGGCTGAGAGCTGGCTTCTTCGAGAGGACTATTCCGTGCAAGTGACAGAAAATCCATCTGGAGATGCGTTTATTGGATGCTTGGCACGGTTCTTAGATTCCGTAAGTACATCTTACAGTTAGTCTACTTATTCGTTATCTTTAACAAGTACTGTAGAGCTTCATGGACTTCCCTCGTGTCTTCTACCAGGTACCTTATGAATAATGCGACTGTTATATTTGAAGTTGACTCCCAATTGAATCTTATTGAAATTACAAAGACATCATGCGTGTCGTTCTTTAAACCTATTTTCATTTCTTCCGCGGTAATTTAAGGCAAACCAATCTGAGTGCAGATTCAATTTACGTAAATAAAATTTGACATTTCTGAAATATTACCTCCATTTAATGTGTTTGCTAGTGATTCTCGAGAATAATGCTTACCATTGACAAATAAATGGTCATCGGGTAAACCGTTTGCCTCTGAGGTACCAATCCATCTGCGAGAATGGGGGGGGGGTTTCAATGGTGTTGTTGTACGTTCGAGGGAGTCCCCTTCTTCGAATTAGTGAACCATTCATCATGAATTAGGCGTAAAACCGCGATTACTTCAAACGGTTCATAATATATATTCTCTTCACGTACTTGTTTTTCAAGTACTTGATATTTAATATGCTTATATAATTTTAGGGAAGGTTCACCATCCAAACTCTCGATATTAGCGACTGCAACCTGACCGAAGGGTGCCTAACAAGCTTCCAGAGATTACTTGCAGCGCCTAGTACAACACTTACAACATTGCGCTGCGACGGAAACCCTCGACTCAAAGATCCAAATGTTTGGGCCAAATTAATTTCAACAAGCGCTCAGGCAACATCAGCTTTAACGGCGATTACTATTGATGCTCCCTTGGGTAATTCTTGTCGACACCTAGACGCTAATAGTAATAATCCTAAGCCTCTATCTAACGGGGCAAGGGCTATTGTATTGACATGAAATCTTGACTGAGCTTCTTTATTCGAGTACGTACTTTTCTAGACGTCACCTTTTCCTTATTGGTCTCCACAAATGCGTCATCCAGCGTTGCTATTATGCCATTGGGTTTTACTTCCGAGGATCAAATGGACAGTAAGAAGCATACGATAGCATTCTTACGTTATTAATTGGTTTAGCGTGCTTTGTATAATATAGCACTCGTGTATGCGTTTGTGGACCTATGTTGTCCGCTATTTACTGCTTCTTTTCATATTGACAAATTCCACCACATTTCTTGCTAAAGTGACTAAGTCGGGCGTAGTAAAAGAGGATGCAAGTGTAGGAGGTGTGATCTAAAGAGGTTTTTACCAAAGAACAGGCAAGTTCATATGGAGGAGAGATGCATGAAAGATCGGAATAGGGACCAAGAGCCATTAAAGAGTATAAGATCTTAGAGAAAGCAATTGTCTTGCCACCTTCATCACTGTCCCTGATCCAACAAGGAATGTGAAGATGAGTATACTTTGAGGTGCTTAGATTTCCACTTGTTCAAGCTTTGCATCCACATTAACCTAATTGTTGTAACAGTTCGTTTTGATTAAGAAGTCCTATATTGTGTAGATTTTGCAAAGAAATTTACACTTGAACGTGAATTTATCATATATGATTATATTATTAAACAAAGATAATTTGCCAAGCATTCCACTTATCTTTTGACTAAGTGCAGTCTCATTTCAGTTGAAACGGAAGAGGATCTTAATCTCTCGATGGAGGCAATATCCCGCAAGATGTCCCACAACATCTGTGCTGCACCACTTCAGGAGCTGACCCTCATCACATCAGATTGTTGTACATGGCTAGGGGATCAAATGCTTCCCCTTGGAAAGAGGGTGGCACTGCTATCCTCTCAAATGGCATCTGTGCTACAGAAAAGAAAATCAGATGCTTCTCTCTCTGTCCAATTTCTCACTCACATTGCATCCTGCTTTGTTCAGCGATTTGGAAAGCTATCAAATGTCTGTCGGCTGAATCATGGAGTGGTCTTCTCCCGTCAAATGAGTGCTGCTCTTATCTGCAGAAATGTCCCTTCTCATTTGAATTGATTTCCTTTCGCGTCTGTCTTTGTGTGGTGGTCTTGTAAATTATATTTATACTTGTACTGATTAGCCTTTGTGTCTGCAAATAAGATACCGTGAATTTCTGAATTGGCATAGACTTTTTGGCGTCTCTTGTTTTAAAGTTTGTTCAGTTGAGTTGTGTTTTATAAGCTCCTTCGTTGGTTGAATGTCAAAGTTAAATTGGCTGTCAAAATTATGAAAAGGAGAGACTCGGTGAGGAAAATTCAGTTCCATAGAAGCGTCCATTATACCCCCTTTTATACTTGCAAAGCATCAAAAGAAAGTCCTCGATTCTCGAGACTACAGAAGGCGTTCTCGACACTCCACTCGAATAGCTAGTATTATCTTTTTGTATATCATAATAGAATTTACTGAGATTCACATGCAACTACAACCCCAGGATATAGACCTCTAATTCGATAGACGTTGATTATATCACGTTATTTTAAACTATCACTGTTTCGGACAGCTTAATCCGTAGCAATTCTTGCATATCGCTTTGAAGCTTTCAAGCTTATGCCACCGTATTTTTGATATTGGTCATGTTACAAGTGAGTAGTAGTTCATATATTGAGAGGAATTTATTTAATTAAATAGAAAAGGTTATATACTTCCGCCTAGTATATTTCCGATTGCTCACCTCAACCCGCAGTTATCAGATGTGGCTTTCCTTAATTAGCACATCAAAATAGGCATAGTGTATTGAAGTGCTTATCATAATCAGGCAGCAAACTGATGGGACGATAGTTCCGAAACAGGCAACAAATATTACTACCTGATGAATGTGGTCAAGTCAAACAGCGACTCGTTTTATCTGCTTAAGACCCTTATTAGAAAGACACGAGAATTATTAATATGCTTGTTAACTTTAAGCTAAAAGAAATGCAAACTCCGGAATTATCCTTCTCTTTCCTAACACAAGCAATTGAAAAGCATATGAAAGGTAGGCGAAATCCATTTCAGGAGATTAATAGGACTCCCATTGAAAATGCTAATTCTGCTCGACATTTATTTGTAGAGCGCTCATGCTTGGAAGCCCGGCTTAAGGAAATTGAAAACAAATCTTCCGTCGCTGAAAAAGAACTCAAAACAGGTATGCTGTCCTCATCATTCACCTATCCAAATAGTTGAGAAGGAGCATTCGGAAGTTAAAATGCAAAGTGCAGTACTTCGAGAAAGGAAACAACTCCTTATCAACAAACTCCAAATCTTGAATGCTAAAAACGACAAACTACAAAAAACATTCGTCCAAAATCAGGAATCAGAACGCGAACTCGAAGGCAAAGTAACTAAATGCAAAGCTCAAATGAATTCAGTACGGAGCCAATTCAACGGAGAATACCTAAAACTGCAAAATCCCATTTTCACTGAACTCAGTATTCCTGAAACTAAGGATTTTGAACTTCCAGATATGTAAGACACTAACTTCGTAGTAATTAAATATTCTTTTCAAGAGATATAGAAGCTCTACAAGTCAACTATCAGGCCATTCAGCAAAGTATCTGAACACACCCCCATCTCCCTATATAATCTGTTATTGTTTCAATAAAGGTTTTTTTAATTGAATAAGTTATTAAACGGGCTTTATCAACAAAAAAACATGTGGGGTTTACAGCATGCCAATTTCTTCGTCAAGGTCAGCGGATTCTTCAAGAGAACGTTTGGCATATTCCTCAGCTTCCTGATGAACATCCTTTGGAACCACCACGTGTTTTCCTCCAGTATCTATGGAAAAATAACCACTTGACAAGTATTAGCGAAAAGGCACGTAAATGAGTTATAGATTGTAGCTACGTACGAGATCCAACCCAGCTAAGGTCCAATTCGAATGATTTATCTTTAATCTCGTCATGAACAGTGTATATGCTAAAATAAGAAGTTTAAATGAATTGAAAATCGTTTAAAACACAAGAGAGACACAATAAAACGTAAATCTTTACATTTTAGCCGCTTCCTTGATAAGATCTTGGCAGGTCATTTCAGAGAGTTTAATCTGTTCCATTTCCGTCTTGGCATTCTGCCTGGCTTTTCCAATAGCACAGCCACCATACGCCTAAAATTTTAAAGCGAAGTAAAATCATTATGCAAGCAGCAAAAAAGTGGTTATAATGCAATTGTTAAAATCACAAATGCCTACATAATACATTCCAGAAGGTTCAATGACGTACAAATGCGCGCCATCATTTTCGTAAGATCCAAGCAAAATGGAAACACCAAATGGTCTAATAGCACTGTACATAGTATACAAATGGATGTGCATGGCCACTCGTTCACAAAGGTGCTAAAGCATGGGACAATAATTAATACATAACAATAATCATACTTTAGCGGGAATAGGTCCCCCATAATTTTCCCTGTAACTCATGCACTCGTCTCTGGCAACTTGTACGAGAGCTTTAACATCAGATTGAAGACCGGCGAAAGCCTAGAGAAGTGAGACGGACAACGACTGAACATACCATTCCAATATGTTCATCAATGGAAAAGGTCCTTTTGACACAACCAGGTTCATATAATTTGGACAAGACAATATTTTCAACAGCAAAAACTACACCATCTTTACCCTTAAGCGCAACAGCAGTCCTAGACAAGGTAATATGTAATAAAAATTTACCCGCTATTTTCAACAGCTTTGTAAGCATATTCGATCTGAAAAACCTTCCCTTCTGGCGAAAATTGAGAAGCTGAAAGATCATACTGATAAAAGTTAAAATAAATTGGCAATAACTTACCCCAGTACCGATGGAGCTCATTTTAAAATATATCAAATGTGCTTAATCAAATATCACAAGACCCAATGCGCAACAAAGTCAGCTGGTAAAGGTCAAACTTGATACGCCGACGAAACAATTATTGATAGAAACACTATTTTCGTTTAAAAATTCTTGCTTTTAATTTTAAGATAACGTTTATTTTAAAATTCTATATTAATATCTACTTTAGAAGATATTTACTAGCATCGCATGCTATTCATATGCATTCGTTAAACTTTTCTTAAACCTACTTAGTATTTTGCTAATTTGTAAGAAAGTGGAAATTAAATATCAGTTCAACTTTAGATGAGATTAATAACCAATTGTTCTTTTGAAATATATTTTCCATTCTTACACATTAAATCTACCTTATTGTTAATTATGCATTGCCAATGTTTACTTTTTGCACATTTTTTTTCATTACGTCTCGTATTTACGTATTCAGAAACACATTTGCATACCACCGCCATTTTCTAGGTAAGCACAAATTAATCTTTCATTTTATTAATATATCATAATATGGCCTACTGGGGTGCGCAATAGACTTACCTCCACTTGGTGCACCCTGGGCAACATAAACTCATACGGCAAAAAGTCTATTTACTGGCAGTTGACTTCTGACTTCAAATCACTAAGACCCGACTATTTGTAATACTCGATCCCTTTCATAGTACCCATCTTACCTTTTCTATGCCTTTGTGTCTGTCTGTCTCTTTTACATCTGTAAATCACTCTTCTTTTCCCCCCTCTCGACTTTTTGTCACTTTGATGTTCCACCTCCTCTCTGTGAAGCCTGAAGCCAACTAAAAGGCTAATGATAACTATCAAAACGCCTACCATTCGATATAAATAAATAATATGGCATAGTTTGCCAGATCAGTAGAAGCATTTCTTGCATTTGAGCTACACACTGCACGGCTGATGCTGCACCTAATTGTTAAACGAGTAGACGTGCTACCATATCACTGTATGTTGCAGCACAAAAGGTTTATTCACTTGACAGAAAACAGAGTGGACAGATTGCGTTGTAAGGATATGTTTAATTATTTGCAACGAATTGAGATATGGTGCCGATTCACCTAGTTTAAATTGCCATGACATGAATTCAT